CTCGGAGCAAGGTGAGCGCGCTGGGTAGGGACGGCGCCGCGCAGTGGGCAGGTGCGGGTGAACTTGGCGTTGGGGGTGCAAGTCCCGGGAGGAACGGGCAGCTTGGGCTTTGTGCGGCTTCCCTACAGATTCAGCGTGTAGCAACCTTGGTAAGTGACTTAATCTTCCCGAGCCTCAGTTTCCTCCGGTGTAAAACTTAACAACAGTAGCGACCTCTTGGGGTTGAGCGAGTTTAGTGAGATTTGGCTACTGGGGGGCTTTATTAACACAGAGCTTGGCACGGAGCAAATGTGTAGAAGTTAGTCCGTGTTGATATTAAAAGTGGCCGTTAGGTACACCGCTCAGTCCTGGATCCCAGGGACTGGGCCCACGGCCAGAACAGCTGCTAACTTTGCGTGCCTCCCTCCTCGGCACCAGAGAGGTGGAGAAGAGCGACTGCTTGAGAAGGAAGAGGAGGAAGATGATGAAGAAGATGAAGATGATGAAGACAATGTGTCTGAAGGCTCTGAGGTACCCGAGGGTGACCGTCCTGCAGGTGCCCAGCATCACCAGCTTAATGGTGAGAGGGGCCCTCAGAGTGCCAAGGAGAGGGTCAAGGAGTGGACACCTTGTGGACCTCACCAGGGCCAGGATGAAGGGCGGGGGCCAGCACCAGGCAGTGGCACCCGCCAGGTGTTCTCCATGGCAGCCATGAATAAGGAAGGGGGATCAGGTAAGGACCCCTCTGGGTGGGGGAGGGAGCCTGGTCGGGAGGAATCAAGCCCCAAGACAAAGTCACAGGCAGATGCTTTTTCTTTCCCAGCCTCTGCTGCCACTGGGCCAGACTCCCCATCCCCCGTGCCTTTGCCCCCAGGAAAGCCAGCCCTGCCTGGGGCCGATGGAACCCCCTTTGGCTGTCCGTAAGTTGGGATGTTTGAGATAAGAGGGTGGTGCCCAGGGGTGTGTAACAACCGGAGTAACATCACTGTTCACCGGTTCCCTCTTTTCCAATGCAGTTCTGGGCGCAAAGAGAAGCCAGCTGACCCTGTAGAATGGACAGTGATGGACGTGGTAGAATATTTCACAGAGGCTGGCTTCCCGGAGCAGGCAACAGCTTTCCAAGAACAGGTGAGTTTCCAACCCTCAGCTTCCTTCCACTATTCCAGGGCAGTGGGGGTCTGCTCTGACCCTGCTCTCTGTCTCTCTCTGTCCCACCCAGGAAATAGATGGCAAGTCTCTCCTGCTCATGCAGCGGACAGATGTGCTAACCGGCCTGTCCATCCGCCTTGGCCCAGCCCTGAAAATCTACGAGCACCACATCAAGGTGCTCCAGCAAGGCCACTTTGAGGATGATGACCCTGATGGCCTCCTAGGCTGAATGTCCAGCCTCACCCCTGCCCCTACCCTTTCCAGACCCATCTTACCCAAGTCCCCTGGAGTCCAGGGGTTGGGCTAGGGACACTCGCAGCCCTCATAACAGATTCCAGTGAGGGGCACCCTTCCCTACTCATCTCTTCCCAGTGTCTCCCCAACACACACATCTGGCATCGAGCACATCCCAGACTTCCTGATGGAGGAGTGTGGGGTGGGACAGGGCCTGCTCATTTCACCCCAGGAGGCCCACCCCCACCCCCAACCTAGGACATTTTTGAAAAAAAAAAGAAAAGAAATGGGGGTTTCCTATCTCCCATAGATCTTTAGTTCAGCCAGATGTTTCCTATATAAATGATTTGTTCTGCCTGTTCATTTTGATGGGTGGCCTTTCTTCCCTCCCCCACCAACCAGGCCCCTCCTTGGTCTGCCCTCAGCCTCCATCCCCTGGGTGGGGTGAGATCAGTGGGTCTTCCCTACTCTTTCTGTTGGTTGTCGCTCCAGCTGGCTGTATTGCTTTTTAATATTGCACCGAAGATTTTTTAAATAAAGTTTTAAAAAAAAGAAAAGAAAAGAAAAAAAGGCCAGGAGTCCCATTTTATCAATGGAGTTGGGGAAGCGGGGTATTTGAAGAACCGCACCAGCCTCCTGGGAGAGCCGGGATAGTACTGAATTGTTCTCAGAGGGAGACAGGTAGTGAATGGGGCTGCCTCACAGCCAGCTATAATAGTGATTGCACTGGCAGGACAGGAATGTTTGCACAGTTCTATCATCTCCCCATGCCCAGAACAGTACCTGTAACAGTAGGTGCTTAAATGTTTGTTGAGTGACTAGCAGTTACCTCGGCTTTAGTTTTTTGTGTGTTTTTTAAGGAATTTATTTTTTTTAATGTGTTTTTATTGATTTAAGGGAGAGAGAGAGAGAAACAATGATGAGAATCACCTATTGGCTGCCTCTTGCATGATCCCTACTGAGGATCAGTTGTAACCCAGGCATGTGCCATGACTGGGAATCCAACCGTGAACTCCCGGTTCATGGGTTGAAGCTCAATCACTGAGCCACACCAGCTAGGCAGCTTTACATTTTCTTGGTTCTCTCTGCAGCCCCAAGAAGCAGAGCTTGTAAAAATCACTTTACAGATAGGCAACTGACTCCCTATGGCAAAGATACTTGCTCAGGGTCACACAGGGTGGGATCCAACACCTGTGAGCACTTTACCCAGAGTTTAAGTATAATTAAAGTATTTGGCCTCATATGTATACGTCTGACAGCCTTTCAAGCTACATACAAAAACTGTTGGAGCAGGGTCCATGGCAGGACCTCCAAGCTACAAGGTCCTCTCTCCATAAAAGGAACAAGGGATTGGGTTATCAAATGAGATAGTCCCTATTAAGTTCTAATGCAGTTTCTCTCAACTGCATTAGTTTTTTAATTTATTTTGTTAACCCTCACTGGTGGCTATTTTTTTCCATTGTTTTTTGAGAGTGGAAAGGAGGGAGGTGGGGCAGAGAGAGATTGAGAAACATAGATGTGAGAGACGTTGATTGGTTGTCTCTCCCAGGTGCCCCAACCAGGGCTGGATGGAACCTGCAACACAGGTACATGCCTTTGACTTGGAACCTAGACCCTTTTGAGGGCTGAGGCTCTAACCACTAAGTGACCGGTCAGGACAACTCCTATTAGTTTTTTGTTTTGGTTTGGTTTTTAAAAAATATATTTTATTGATTTTTCACAGAGAGGGATAGAGAGTTAGAAACATGGATGAGAGAGAAACATCGATCAGCTGCCTCCTGCACACCCCCTACTGGGGATGTGCCCGCAACCAAGGTACATGCCCTTGACTGGAATCGAACTTGGGACCCTTGAGTCCGCAGGCCGAGGCTCTATCCACTGAGCCAAACCGGTTAGGGCTGTTTTGTCTTTTTTTAATATGCTTTTATTGATTTTAGAAAGAAGAGGGATAGTAGAAACATGGATGAGAGAAACATGGGTCAGCTGCCTCATGCACACCCCTACTGGGGATCAAACTGGAAACCTGGGCATGTGCCCTGAATCAGTGACCTTTTGGTTCAGAGGTCCGTGCTCAACCACCCGCCGGGCACTCCCTTAGTTTTTAAAATACAGATTCCCTCCTGGAGTCGGAGGCTCTGGGGGTGGGAGCAGGTGCCTGCCTTTATATTCCTGCGCCCCAGGGCTTGAACGCGCTGCAGAGACCCCCTCCTCCCTAGGAAACTGCCTCCAAGAGAAAGGCGGTGACCCCCAGAGCGCACCCCAAAGACATAACCTCCCCAGTGCCGGCCCAGGTCGCCCCCACCCCACCTCCGTTGGATTGCTGGAGCGCGCGCTCAAGCGGACCCCAGCGGCGCGCCCCTCCTACGTGTTGAAATTCAAACGAGGTGAACTCCGCGCGGTGCTCCGCCGCTGGCAGAGCGGTCGAGGCAGGAGTGAGGTGGACGGTGCTGCGCTCCCATCCAGGGCGAATCAGAGGTTCCCAGGCGGGGTCGAACCCGTGGCCAACCGGGATGGTGTAGATTTAAAGGTCTCAGATCCCTTCCTCCAGCCCCACAATGGCTACGGAGCAGTGGTTCGTGGAGCCGATCCTCCCCGGCGGCACTGGGGAAAAGCTGCCCCAGGACGACATGGAACCTGGGGCTCAGCCCTGCGGAGACCCCTCGTGGTCGGCGCCCTCAAGCCGACCTGGGGACCCAGCCCAAGTGGAACCGGAGGATGTCCAGGGGCAACTGCCCAAGGCCTCCCCTTCCACACCTTCCCCAGAGCCTCTGGCCCCGGGCCCGGGCCCGGGCCCCACACCTCCTCGCCTACCCTTGGACACCCTGTTCAGCCCCATCACGGAACAACTCCGCTACCTGCTCAAAAAGGCGGATGATTTCCAAAGCTACTTGCTCTACAGGTAGTGCTGGACAGAGCCCCAGGGTCCCCGTACATAAGGAGACAGGAGAGGGGTGACTGGATTCCGGCAGGTGGAACACACCAGAGCTGCAAACTTAAAAGCATGAGGAGCTAGAGGCAATGAATGAAGCTAGCTGATTAGGGATCTAATTTGGAAGAGTGATGAGGGCTGTGTACTATTTGGGGTTAGGAAGTACCTGCTATTATGTGGGCACCAGTTTGCCAAATCTCTAGGACTTTTTTTTGATTTTTTAACTGAAGGCTTAGGTTTTGGATCCTGGGCAGGCTAAACAAAACCCATCTGATCCAGATTTGGCCCGCTGGTTACCAGTTTGAGACCAAAAAGGAGAATGTGATTGTAGCCCAAAGAAAAAGAGACTGATTCTGGGAGGCTGTTTAAACCCTAGGTTTCCGGGTCCCACCCTGCAAAAATAAGCCATGGGACTCGGGTGTCAGCATTTTACCAGGTGTTCCAAATAGTTGTGATGCAGGTTGTCCTGGAAGATGCTCTGACAAAGATCTGGAGTTGGGGGTGGGGGGTGGGGGTGGAGAGGGTGTACCCAAGGTCCAGACCAGGGATAAAAGTGGGAGGCTGAGTAGAATGGGAGAAATGAGGGGTGATAAGAGATCCTAAGCAAAGGTCTTCTTCTCCCTTCAGCAGGGACCGAGTTCAGAAGGAACAGTTGGCAAAGGCCATGCCCACCTTCTTAAAGATGTGTGAGCCCTACTTCCTGTACCTGGAGGCAGCTGCAAGGAGTGTGCCTCCCATCTATGGAGCCCTGCAGGAGCTGGTTCGAAAGGGGGTGTGTGGGGGCAGTTCCCTAAACCCCATGCCCCTTTCGTTATCCCTCAGGCCTCGGGGAGGGAGGTAGAGGGGCAGGTGCTCCTGGTAGGCCAGCTAATACTATGATGCCTCCTCTTCCATGCAGCTGTTGGAGATCTCCCAACAGCTGACCCTGCGACTGGAACAGCTGGTGCTCATGTATGCATCGTTTGGGTTTGTGGAACTGGAAGAGACAGACCCCCTAAGGTAATAGGGTGGGAGACGGGGATTGGTAGAGGGTAGAAGGGTCTGGGGCACAACCTCCTTCCCCACGCTCCCATCTCTTCCCAGCATCTCCTGTTTCTTCTGTGGGAGGTTCTCCATCAGTCCTTCCCACGAGGTGTCCATCTTCAGATACTGTGCCCCTGCTGCCTACACCACCAGCCGCTTCCCCCGGTACCTCTATAAGAAGATGCGCTGGAACCTGGAAACTACCCCAGACCCCAGCAGCCGGGGGCAAGATTCCCATGTGGATTAGTGAGTCCCCTTACCAGAATCAAAGTCCCTACCCCCTCTATGGAGAATGACAGTATGGGCCTCTGAACCACCACCACTACCACTGAGGTGTGGAAAGTCAAACAGGAAACCAAGGACCTTTGAGAGGCCATCCTTGCCTTTTAAAAGATTCATCCCCCAATCAAAATAAAAGTCCTCATCTTAAAAGTAGTCTGGCAGAGAGAGAAGGCCTCAGTATTGTGTCACATCCCTAGCTGAGAACTTGAAGGCAACTTCTGATGAGTTTCTACCTCACCTTCAAAATTAAAGCCCTTAACAGAAGAAGCTAGAAAACTGCTCACTCGTAATTGCTGCCTCTTCCCCTCCCAGCTACTTCCTGTGCTATCGAGATACATGGGAAGACACAGGCAAGAGTCCGGCCAATTCTTGTCCCCAGATTCAGAAGCTGTGGTCCATCGGCCGATGGGTGCCCCTAGGACCAGCCGAGGATGATCTTTATTCCTGGTAGGAGCTAGGGCCATGGCAAGGTGGGCGTGGGCTCTGGAGGGAGGGGCAGAACCATACCAAAGACCATCTATTCCCCCCCCCCAACATTGTTCCCCTTGGTAACAACCATACAATTTTATTATGTTCTGAAAACTGCTTTATGTAAAACCCATTTAGGTCTATACTAGTAACTAGCCCATTTTTACAAAGAAGGAAACAGGTGCCCAGAGAGGTTGCCTGCCCGAGGGCACACAGCAGCTAGATGATTGGTTAAGTGAGGGATGCCGAGTTCAGCCTCCCAGAACTAGTGCCCTAGGCTTCTCATCGACAAGGAAACCACTTTCCCCCACCAGCTGAAACAAAGCCTCTTTCAGTCCCAGCCCCTCACCCGAGGGGAGAGGCTCCCGAGAAGCAGAGGGCGCTCACGTCCAGCCCTGTCTGTCCTGGGCCCCCAGGATTTTGTGCCCGCAGCCGTCCGGAGATTACCAGCAGCTGCTGACCATCGGTTTCGAGGAGCCATCTCACATGCTAGCCACCGACCTGCTGGTGCAAATCCTCACAGGCCAGGCAGGCCCGGCCCGGTCCCTGAGCGCGGCCGGGCCCACAGCGTGGGACACACAGGGCTCTTGAACCTGGGAGAGGGTAGGAGCCGAGGCTTGACAGTTCCAAACTCCAGGAGAGGGGCAGGGCAGGGAGGGGCTCACTCTTTCTCCAAGGGCAGCTCGGCCTCACCTTCTAAGGGGCCAGGCCGCGCTGGTCCATCCGCACTGGGTCTGCCCCGGCCGCGGGGCCCTGCGTGCGGATACACCATTTTTGTGTTAAATAAAAGAAAGAGGTCACAAACTCAAGAGTCCACTCGAGCGCCGCTCCCGTCCTCTCGGGCGACGAAGCCCCACCTACTCGCGCAGTCTTCTGGGAAATGTAGTTTTTAGTAATAAAACCGTGTTCCGTGGACCGGCGGACCAGAGCTCTGGGCATGTGCAAAGGCGTACGTGCAGCAAAAAGGGAAATAGCGGTGCTTGTCAACAACCGGAACCCAGAAAACCGCAACTTTCGGGTAGCCGGGTAGCCGGGAGACTCAACGCCTGTTGGGGGCGGGGAGGGGGGGGATGTGTGTGTGAGAAGGGACCCCCCAGGGTCACGCCCACTTGCCTACTTTGACCCGGAAGTGATTTCTTTGTAGCGTAAAACACCTTATTTCCAGATGTGCCCCCGGATAAGAGCTCTTGATTAGTTTCCTAAGAGCCAAGATCAGATCTTCTGGCTTTTGGGTCCCGGACCGGGTAGGTCGCTGTACCCCGCGGGGTGTCCTGGGCGCAGGTGAGCTGGGAGAGCCGCCAACAACTACCACTTTGCATCTCCAAAGCCTCACCCAACCTTGGACTGGAGGGGAAACCCGGGCTGAGACCGTTGGACTCACCTGTTCAAAGCTACGGCGAGCAAGTATCGGAGCCTGGACCTGAGCTGGGTTCTTGTCATCGCAACTGGTCCCTGGCGCGGTGACGGGTGCCGTTCCTGGCCATGTGTCACTCAGCTGCAAGTTACCCCCTTTAAACTAAGAAATGCCTTTTGGTCCCCTCCAACCCTGCATTTTCAGAGTCGGAGGAGAGACCTAGAGTCCTGCTTTGATGCTTTGAGCAAGCCACTCGCTTACCCAATAGTCCCTGGCGCATTGTATTTATAAGCCCCACTTTACAGATGACACAAACGGATGAGGGGTTAAGTGAATCAGGATTGGAGGATGGGGCTCTTTTTTTTGGTGACAATTTCTGATTGTATCAAGGATTTTTTAATCCACAGCCCAGGTCCGAATGAATTCAAAGGGGTTGTGAAGCTCTCAGCTGTAGAACTCTATAGACTAGCCTAGTTCTATAGAAATATAAAGTGTGAGTCATGTGTAATTTCAAATTTTCTAGTAGCCACATTTTTTTAAAGGCCAGACTAATTTTAGTGAAATTTTAATTAACTCAACATCTCCAAAATATTATTTCAACATATAATCAATGTAAGAAATTATTAATGAGCCCGGCCAGCTTGGCTCAGTGTTTCAGTTTCGACCTAGGAACCAGGAGGTCACTGTTTGATTCCCGGTCAGGGCACATACCTTGGTTGTGGGTCTCTCTCTCCCCCCCTCCCCCTTCCTCTCTGAAATCAATAAAAATATTTTTAAAAATAAACTATTAATGAGACATCCACCCCTTTTTTGGTACTAAGCCTTTGAAATCTGGTATTTTACACTTACAGTACATCTCAATTCTGATTAAGCCACATGCAGCTTTAGACTGTCTCCCATAAGGCAAGTACACAGGCCACTTCAGACTAAAGGTTTCCACTGGGTGGTGGCAGCACTGGGAGAGGAAGGAAACATTTCCTGGGTCCTGTTCCTGGAGAAATGTCTACACCCATGATTCTCCAACTTTAGCATCCCTGTGAATTACATGGAAGTTTTGATCAAGTTTGGGATAGGGCCCAAGCATGTGTGTTTTTTAAAAATAATTTTCTTTTATTTATTTTTATTGATTTCAGAGAGAAAGGGAGAGGGAAAGAGAGATAGAAACATCAATAATGAGAATCATTCATCAGCTGCTTCCTGCACACTCCCCACTGGGGCTCAAGCCGGCAACCTGGGCATGTGCCCTTGACTGGAATCGAACCTGGGACCCTTCAGTCCGCAGGCCAATGCTCTATCCACTGAGCCAAACCGGTTAGGGCAAGCGTGTGTATTTTTAACAAGTTCCCAAGCAGTGCCAGCCTACTTTGAGAACTTGTGGCCTATATCTACATCATGGCTCTCAAACTTGGCTCCATGTTGGAAGCACCTGGGGAGCTTTACTGATGCCCAGGCCTCCCTCAGATTCTGATTTGCTTGGCATATGGGTGCCTCTGGTGATTTTAACTTGCAGGAACGTTTAAGAAACAAGGTCCATTCCTAAGCCACCCTGTCAACTCTTTACATGCTTAGTTCTTAGCTGCCCTTCTGGGAATTAAGAACTGGCTCTGGGTGTTTCCATTTCCACCTTGGCATTGCTGCCCTTCCTGCCTTTCTCTCTCGACCTCCCAGAGTCACTGTCAAGAGGTCAGTGTGCTGATGATGGGGTCAGGTGGTGGGCTGAGCTGCTGTTGGCATGCAATGCTGTATGAGCAAGCATTCTTCCATCCTTCGTTAACCATTTGTTGTCCCTATGCAGGTTCCAGCCTGTTGCTAGACTCAGAGTATACAGAGTTGGACAAATCCAGGAGTTTAAACAATGATTCTAAAAATGTTCCCTGAGTCTCAACCGTTTCTGAGTCTCACTGCACCCTAAGAAGCTGGGACACTACAACCACAGAATGTAACTGCAGAGACTTGGGGTGTTCACAGAACTTCAAGTCCATTCAAGGGGAACAGAGAGAATGAACCACAAGCCCTATTGCAGACAGGTGTTACTTGCTACCCCCCCCCACACACACCCTATTTTAAAAGTTTTCTAAATAGTCATAATTATTTAAGGTTTAGTAGATTCTCTTTTAAAGTCCCAGTTTCCATTGCTTTGGGGAAGCAGAAGCTCTGGCACCACTTAACCCACTCACTGGTAGCACTGCTGTGTTGGAGGAACACTTACCAGCCCGTTGAACCTAGGCATTTGTTTTCAAGCACCCCTCATCTCTCTCCTTCACATTTGCCTGGGGCCACAGGCATGTGAGGTTTGCTATCACTGGCCTTGTGTGCCCTGCGAAGGAGATTGTACCCTCATTTTTTTTTCTTTTTCTCCTTTTGTAGTTATTGTTTACACCCCAAGGGCAGGAACAACCTCTTATCACTTCTGTCTAGCCAGCGCCCAGCGCAGAGCATGCTGCTGGCACCAATAAATGTTGACGAAGTCTGGAGAAGGAGGGCGTGAGGTCATTGATCCGAATGCCGCAGTCTGCGCCCGCGCCGCCAGGGGGCAGAAGGACCCGGGCAGGGCCGTGGGGGACCAGCAGCCCAGGAACCGGGCGTTAAGGGCACATTCCGCCTTACCGTCGGCGCCTCCTGCTGCTTTCTGCTCCGCTCGCCATGCTCCGCCCCACGCAGACCTAGAGGGTCCAGAATAAAATAGCCTGCACTGCCCAGCAAGAAGGGACTTTATTGGGAATGAGGAAGCCGAGACGGTGACTCCAGTCAAGGCCGGAGGGAGAGGCTCGCTCGGTTTTCGGTTGGGTGGAGAAGGGCTGGACCGTTTCATTGGTTAGGTTGTTGTAGTGGTATTTGCCAATGGAAAACAACAGTTTTGTAGCAGAAACGAATCGATTTCACAAAATGAAGTTCAAGGATGGGTTGGTAGGCTTCATCTTCCCTAGCGCAGACCGCGGGTCCCTCTTCGGGACGTCTGCTTATCCCGAGAGCACGCGTGGGCTCCTCTTGTCCTGGTCCTCTGACGGGCATGTTACTTTCGGCCGGGCATTCCAGCCTGCTCTAACCTCAAGGCTTCCGCTCCTCCTGGGAAGAAGGGCCAGTCAGAACACCCAGGAGTAGGGTAGGGCGGTTTGGGCCCCAGGACCACCTCTTCCTCGGCCCGGAGCCGCTCCCCAAACTTTGTGTCCTCCCCTGAGGGACTTCCCCGGGGGCGTGGGGATGCGCTTTCCTCGGCCCGGCGTCCTGGTGCCGCGGGGGCGTGGGGGGGGGGGAAAGACGGTGATAAAGGGGAACCCACCTGCTCCAGGCCGTCCTCGGAAGCCTTGCTGCGGGGAGGCCAGATCACCGCCAGCTTTCCATCGCCCCTGATCGCTGCGGGGAAAGGGGCACTCAGCCGGGGTCGCTCCTCCTCTCACCAGCTGGAGGCGCCGGGACAAAGGAGGCCGGCCGCACCCCTTAAACACACACAGGTGTTCACACACACACACACACACACACACCCCACCGTCTCCTGGAAGCCTCTATTCTGAGGGAGGAGGGAGCAAACCCAGAGTGGGGAGGCAGGGACGCGAAAATTCAGGACGATCCAGGAGTGGCAGAACCCAGGCAGGGTTCCCTGGGACCCAAAAAAACGGGAAGACATCTGGAATCGTCCCTTCCCCCACCACGATCCTAGGTGAGGTGTATCTGGGATGACCACTCCCGTTAGGGAGTGAAGCACAGAGAGTGGGCAGCCCAGAAGGGATGAACAGGGAACGGAAAGTTGAGAGGGGGCCCCAGGTATCTGGGAACCAGGGGAAAACCCCCCAGAGAGCCAGAAAAGGGGCCACTGGAGTTGGGCAGTCAGTGAGAGCGGCTGGAGCCCTGGGGAGCCCCGGCGTCCCGGCGCGGGTGGCTTACCCATTAGGCTCGGCGCGGGCTCCTTGACCTCGGCGGTGCCATAGACGCTAAGCCTCTGGCGCTGCAGCTCCCGCTCGCGCTCCTGCGCCTCCCGCACCTCCTGTTCCAGCAGCGATGGGCGGCGGTGCGAGGGCCAGCACCGGGCACCTGCTCTGCAGGGCCAAATGCGACAGGCTTACTGGCTCCCGCAGCCACTGCGGGCGAGGAGTCGCACCCACCCTCGGCCTCGAAGAAGCGTTTGAGCTCGCCCTATAATCATTCTTTTATGATAGAACATCTTTGTTATCCTGATTATACAAAAACAGATGCAAAATAATGTTAAGACTTTCTTGCCTGAAATTGCAAAACTAAGTGTGCATATATATTTAAATCCTTTTCCCATTCCATCCTTTTGACTGAAATTTATTCATATCTGTCCTTATATTTCCCTCTTGTGAAAGGCATCACTATCCAGTCACCCTGGGCTCAGCCCCCGCCTCTGCCGCAGGCTTTCCTCACGTTCGCAGCTGCGGCGGATTTCGCGCTCGATGGGCGTCTCCATGAGCGGCTATTCTGGGGGCTGTTAGGGGGAGTCTCCGGGCGCAGTAGAAAACGCTGCTGGGGAGCTTCCGAGTCTAACCCGGAGGAAGAGGTCTCGGGACCCTGACTTGCACACTGTCCCGGGACCCGCGGCGCTTCGCTGGCTCCGAGTCGTCGCTGCCTGGCCCAGGTGTCTCAG